GGGGGGGGTGTACTGGCTGGGTTCACCAGTGAAGTAAATTAACATGGACGAGTGTGGGATGAATGCCCTCCCTGCTTCTGGCAGGACACTATAGGGCATAACTTATCAAACAGGGTTGCCCGCAGCAACCCCCTTCCCCCTTACACACACACTTTTTGCGCTACTGAAGAAGCAAAAATAATTTCTGAAAAACAGATTTTTTCGTGGTGAATTTTGTTGTCGCGTTTTTTGTACTGGTGAATTTTTTGGCGCATTATTTGTACTGGTGAATTTTTTGGCGCATTATTTGTGCTGGTGAATTTATTATTATTATTTATTTATTTCTTTTGCTTCTGGCCTGCTACATTGCTTTGATCATTCGCCGTTGTTGTTTACCAAAAGTAACACGAAATGCTGGTCAAATATACTTAAAAATTAATCGAAGAAATTTATCGATTCCAGGAAATGTAATATATTAAACAATTTTAACGATTAATCGATAAATTAATAGTTTATTTTCACAGCGCTTTCTTGTTTGTTTGTTTTACTTAAGGGCTGCTTTCCTCTGTTTTAGCCTTAGATGCAGGTAGCCTTTTAGCCTTACATACAGGTAGCCTTTTAGCCTTACTTACAGGTAGCCTTTTAGCCTTACATGCAGGTAGCCTTTTAGCCTTACATACAGGTAGCCTTTTAGCCTTACATAAGGGTAGCCTTTTAGCCTTACATACATGTAGCCTTTTAGCCTTACATACAGGTAGCCTTTTAGCCTTACATACAGGTAGCCTTTTAGCCTTACATACAGGTAGCCTAGACCAGTGCTGGTTTAAAGGCTGGAGTTTAGAGAGACTTTAGAGACTAGAGAGACCAGAGAGACTAGAGTCTATAGAGACTAGACAGTCTAGAGAGACTTTAGAGACTAGAGAGACTAGAGAGTCTAGAGAGACTATCAAATCTAGAGAGGCTAGTAAGTCTAGAGAGACTAGAAAGAGAGAGTAGAGAGACTAGAGAGTCTAGAGAGTTTTGAGAAGCTAGACAGACTAGGGAGTCTAGAGAGACTATAGAGTCTAGAGAATCTAGAGTTCTTATAGAGAATAGAGAGTCTAGGTTTGTTGCGCAGAGTTCGTGCCGCCGGAAACCTGCTTGTTTCTGTTTTTTTTAAGCTACCTCATTAGTAGTGCGAGAGTTTTCTTCGATTAGAGTGGATACAGTGGCGTAAATAAGGGTGCAAGAAAAACAAAGTAGGGGCAGAAACCACACTCTGAGGATTGATTAAAACTTTTTTTTTTATGATGCAGTGTGTGTGTGTGAGTGCGAATCGGGCGCACTTTGTCAAAGTGTACGCCACTGAAGGGATAGCTACTTATTTGAGCTTCTGTGGTGTCATCCACACTGGGGGGGGGGGGGGG